ATAGAACTGTTTGGTAGAAACACAACTCGTCGTGTTTGGAGGAGAGAGAATGCTGATTTGCATCCAAAGAACACCATACCTACTGTGAAGCATGGGGGTGGCAACATCATGCTTTGGGGCTGTTTTTCCGCCAAGGGACCAAGACGACTGATCCATGTACAGGACAGAATGAATGGGGCCGTGTATCGTGAGATTTTGAGATTTTGAAACCTCCTTCCATCAGCAAGGGCATTGAAGATGAAACGTGGCTGGGTCTTCCAACATGACAATGATCCCAAACATACCGCCTGGGCAACAAAGGAGTGGCTTCGTAAGAAACATTTCAAGGTCCTGGAGTGGCCTAGCCAGTCTCCAGATCTCAACCCCATTAGAAAACCTTTGGAGGGAGTTGAAAGTCTGTGTTGCCCAGCGACAGACCCAAAACATCACTGCTCTAGAGGAGATCTGCATGGAGGAATAGGCCAACATACCAGCAACAGTGTGTGCCAACCTTGTGAAGACTTACAGGAAACATTTGATCTCTGTAATTGCCAACAAAGGATATATAACAAAGTATTGAGATGAACTTTTGATATTGACCAAATACTTATTTTCCACCATAATTTGCAAATAAATTCTTTCCAAATCAGCCAATGTGATTGTCTGGATTTTTTTTTCTCTCATTTTGTCTCTCATAGTTGAGGTCTACCTATGATGCCAATTACAGGCCTCTCTCATCTTTTTAAGTGGGAGAACTTGCACAATTGGTGGCAGACTAAATACTTTTATGCCCCACTGTATGTATGTGTGTATGTATGTGTGTATGTATGTGTGTGTGTATATATCTACATACATACATATATATCTACATACATACACGTGATTTTGCAGTTCCGGAGTAGGGGGCACGAATGCCGCACTGCCAATAGTTGCAGCGGATGTGAATCTCCAAGTCCCAAACGACGATTCGTGGCCGGCACTCTGTGATCATCTTTGAAGCTGAGAGGGGAGAGAGATGTGTGTAAACACACATCTCTCTCCTGTCAGCATGGACATGCTGCTTTCTCTCTCTCTCTCTCTCTCTCTCTCTCTCTCTCTCTCCCTCTCTCTCCCCCCCCTCTCTCTCTTCTCTCTCCCCCCCCCTCTCTCTTTCTCTCTCCCCCCCCCCCCTCTCTCTCCCCCCCCTCTCCCTCTCCCCCCCCCCTCTCTCCCCCCCCCCCCTCTCTCTCCCCCCCCCTCTCCCCCCCCCCCCTCTCTCTTTCTCTCTCTTTCTCACTTTTTCTCTTCCTTTTTTTGTTTTAGGTTTTTTTTTTTTTCTAGTTCATTAAAGTGTATTTTTTTTAATTGCGTTTGAAAAACCGCTGCACAAATACCATGTGACATGAAAAGTTGCAACGGCCGGTATTTTATTCTCTAGGGTCTTTGCTAAAAAAATATATATAATGTTTGGGGGTTTTAAGTAATTTTCTAGCAAAAAATACTATTTTAAACCTGTAAACAAAAAGTGCCAGAAAATGCTTGGTCTTCAAGTGGTTAACTAGTGCTTATTTGTACATGAACCAAGATCAGAATCCTTCAGAACTAACCACAGTAAGCAAATCCGATAAACAGAGAACCCAAAACCTTTGCATTCACTCAGATGAAGTCTTTCTCAATGATGTCTTAAAGAAAGTAAATGAGAACATAAAAAGAGTTAGGAGGGAACAGTATATGTAGATTTTGTTTCTGATTGGATACAAACTGAATAGACTGTTTAGGGTACATTTCACATAGTTTTGGTAAATGTGATTATACAGCCACCTTAACACGTGTAATCACAGATGCTCTGCTTATCCTTCACAGGGTGCTGTGGCCAGTTCTGCAACTTGTTTGCAGCTGCACAAGCGAGCAGAACGTGTTGCTGCTGGACTGGTGGAGAAAGCTCGCCTTAATGTCGGAGATCATGTAGCTCTTGTGTATCCTCCTGGTAAGTGCTATAAAAGCAGTCAGTGGTCACCGTTCACTATCTGAGCTGTTCAGATATCTGCCACTTTCTAAGTCCATTAACCCTAAAGGCTCTTGCACATGGGCTCCTGACCCTGTTCAATATATTTTCTGGTGTATTTCCTCCGCCTGGGCAGCTCAGGTGCCATGTATAGACTCCCACTGACATGAATAGCTGTGTGCTGCTGTATGCATTTATACAGTGGTGCTATTATAAAAATGATTATAGGGTACAGGTATATGAGAAAAAAAATAGAAAGTTCTTTTATTGTATACGCTGTTGTTTGTGTTTATTGACGTATACACAGGTAAAGCAGTGCACAGCCATTCATGTCAGTGGGAGGCTCTATGCTGCATCTAGGTTGCCTGGGTGGAGGAAATACGCTGGCAATTGCGCTGAACAGGCACAGCTTTCCCTGAGCAAGAACCATTAGTGTGGGAGTCAGTAAGCTAAGTTATTTTTTTGTTAGGGTGTTGAAAGAACTACTCTAGTCAAATACCAATTAGTGCTCTCATCACAAAAATAGTGGAACTTGGAAAAAAGCGTAACCAAAGGTAAAATTTGGTTTTAAGCAGCTTGGAGAGGGCTTGGAATCCCTCAGGGTTTTTTTTTTGTCTGTGCCCCATAAGAAAGATTCACCTTCTTTACTTGACCTGTTGACCGTTGTCACTGAAAGTGAAAAAGAAAGAAAATCCCAAATTTTGGTTTGCCCCGAGAACAATAGTAGAGAGGAAATCTTCAAATGGGGACATTTGGTCTGATGACCCTAGTGACTACCAGGGATTTCCTTATTTTGGAAGGATTTCCTCACTTCCTGTTTTGGCTATGGGACAGGAAGCGAAGGGAATTGCCCATGAAGGGACACAGATGGAAAAAACCCAGACGGATTCTATGCAGAAAAAAAAACAAAATATGTTTTGCCTTTAGTTTTACTTTACATGTAAAACTAACATCTTTAGCAGGCTTCTTCTGCAGTTGTAAGGACTTGCCTTTTCTTTGATTTGATTTTGAGTCAGCGCAGCTAAGCCATCCCAAGTCACCTAGATAAATACAAGCTTTATCAGTGTTGAGCCCTGTGTCGGCAGGATTTTGTTCACATTAGAACATCTTCTTTCCCATACATGTAAATAGGAATGCAAAAGCAACTTGGAATGAGGTCAGATTCACCTATCAAACTCTGATATCAGAGGCATCTCAAACTGATGTCAAATTTACAGTGAATGTACCTAAAAGCAAGCTGCATTTGCCTATCAACACAAGCCCGATTTCATTATTTTGCTCCTCCCCTGGCCTCCATGTGATTTAAGCCTGGACCTGCTAATCTATCCTCCAAATATAGTATTGTGTGATTTAAAGTGGTTTTAAAGCCTAATGAGGTATAAAATGTTCAGGCATCCGTATTCCCCCTCACCCCCCTTTTACTTACCTTAGACCCCATTTGATCCAGCGTTATGCACCGTCTGCAGCTCTTCTATCCCCTCAGTTCAGGGTCTCACAGGCATTGCTGGGGCATTGGGAGCCATTGGCATTGATGATGGAGCTGGGGGGCTCTCAGCGAAAACTAAAATTATATGTGCAAATAAAATGTATTTTTAATGGTATGTCATGTGACCAATTTACAATCAGATTTTCTATAGAACTTTTCTTAATGTTTAGTATGTTGAGACTTTGGACTATGCATATCTGTATATTTCCCTTAGGCATTGACCTTATTGCCACATTTTTTGGTTGCCTATATGCTGGATGTATTCCTATCACTGTGCGCCCTCCACACCCACAAAACCTTACAACAACTCTGCCTACCGTTAAGATGATTGTTGAGGTGAGTGCAACCTAAGTGAATTGTTTAGTTGTTGGCTGGGTATAAAGAAGACATGTCAGTTTTTGAAATGGCATATTTTGAAACCATTTGATTCCATGGAAACTGTATCTAAAATATGTGGCTTCAAAACAATGGCTACCTCTTTACATAGAAACAGTTGCTGTGACTTTTGGCTGAAAGTCTGGCCCCTGGTGTCCTATTCAAGTCACTCCCTTTACATATCTTAGGCAATATACATTAATGGGAAAAGACAGCTCTGGCAATAGACATTTTGCCAAATAAGTTGTGAGGACATACACTACATTGCCAAAAGTATTGGGAAGCCTGCCATTACATGCACATGAACTTTAATGGCATCCCAGTCTTAGTCCGTAGGGTTCAATATTGAGTTGGCCCACCCTTTGCAGCTATAACAGCTTCAACTCTTCTGGGAAGGCTGTCCACAAGGTTTAGGAGTGTGTCTATGGGAATGATTGACCATTCTTTCAGAAGCGCATTTGTGAGGTCAGGCACTGATTTTGGACGAGAAGGCCTGGCTCGCAGTCTCCACTCTAATTCATCCCAAAGGTGTTCTATTGGGTTGAGGTCAGGACTCTGTGCAGGTCAGTCAAGTCCCTCCACCCAAAACTCGTTCATCCATGTCTTTATGGACCTTGCTTTGTGCACTGGTGCGCAGTCATGTTGGGCAGGAAGGGGCCATCCCCAAACTGTTCCCACAAAGTTGGGAGCATGAAATTGACCAAAATGTCTTGGTATGCTGATGTTTTAAGATTTCCTTTTACTGGAACTAAGGGGCCAAGCCCAACCCCTGAAAAACAACGCCACACCATAATCCCCACTCCACCAACTTTACACTTGGTACGATACAGTCAGGCAAGTACCGTTCTCCTGGCAACTGCCAAACCCAGTCACGTTCTTTAGATTGTCAGACAGAGAAACTTGATTTGTCATTCCAGAGAACACTGCTCTAGAGTCCAGTGGCGGCATGCTTTACACCACTGTATTCGATGCTTTGATCATGTAAGGCTTGGATGCAGCTGCTCGGCCATGGAAAACCATTCCATGAAGCTCTCTACGCACTGTTGTTGTGCTAATCTGAAGGCCACATGAAGTTTGGAGATCTTTAGCTATTGACTCTGCAGACAGTTGGCAACTTCTGTGCGCTTCAGCATTGCGCTGACCCCGATCTGTCATTTTATGTGGCCTACCACTTCGTGGCTGAGTTGCTGCTGTTCCCAGTTGCTTTCACTTTGTTATAATACCACTAACAGCTGACTGTGGAATATTTAGTAGCAAGGACATTTCACACACTTATTGCACAGGTGGCAACCTATTACGGTACCATACTGGAATTCTCTGAGCTCCTGAGAGCGACCCATTCTTTCACAAATGTTTGTAGAAGCAGTCTGCATTCCTAGGTGCGTGCTTTTTTACACCTGTGGCCATGGAGGTGATAGGAACACCTGAATCCAATGATTTGGAGGGGTGTCCCAATACTTTTAGCTATATAGTGTGTGTTTATACACATCTCTTTAAGGCCATTTTCACACAAGTAGTCAGAGGCAGCAGTGGATTCTTGCTGGCAGTTCTAAACGCTGTGCACATACTGTGTGTGAAGAGCAGCAGCTGTCAGATTTCCACTCTGTACAGATAAATGGCCAGCTCTTCCGCTGTTCACATGTAATCACTCATCTCAGCAGTTACATGCTTTTAGAACCTCCTCCTGACCCTGGACAAGGACAGTGTGCATCCAGGGATGGTGTTTCTAGTAGCAGCTAACTGGCCAGTTGTTATGAGGCCATAGTACAGAGTGCAGCTATGTCCCGAGGTGGCATTTAGCTGCCTCTGAATGCAAACTACCCACGCTCCATCACCCATATATGTTTGGTATTCCATTCTGACCTCAGTCAAGCATTGTTTTTATTTTTGTATTTTACTTTTCAATGTGTTAGTCAGGCTTTTAGAACTCTTGACAGAAACATTTACTACACAAACACAATGTTTTCTTATATTTACCACACAAATACAAATGTATATGTTTGTTTAAGGAACTTCAAGGAACACTGAGACTTAAAACCTCTGCATAGTGTCAGTTAAATTGTAATTATTATTATACAGGATTTATATAGTGCCAACAGTTTACGCAGCACTTTACAATATAACGGGAGACAATACAATTACAATACAAGTTAATACAGTAGGAACTGGAGGGCCTTGCTCGTTAGAGCTTACAATCTAAGAGGTAATAGTTTAATGAAGAGCTCTTAATTCATAAGGGGGCAATTACCAATGGCAACCAATGAGAATTCATCTGGTCTGACTTCAGGAAAGTGAAATTGTCATACAGAGACAGAGTGAACACTTAACTGAACATGGCTTAATGTCCTAAAGACATAGCTAATATTCCATATAACTTGCTAAAAACACATACAAGCATGAACTGGCCAAAAAAGGGTAATTTCTGCACAATACTAAAAATATTCAGTTGTGTTGATTTACTTCAGGTAATATGAATAAAGATTTAGTGATGACATAACTGACTGCTACTTATCCCAAGAACAGTGTGTCGTATAAAAAGTGAAAAGCCATCATGAATAATTATCTTAATTGCATACCATATGGTGTATAAGGCCATGATTTGACATACCAGTAACAGACCAATCCACGTTTTATTTGGGGATGAAGCACAGCTAAATTACTCTCCTTAAAGTAAACCTAAGAGAGAAATATGGGGACTCTCATGTATGACCTCCAAAAAGTTTAGTTGGTCGACTGCCATGCTCATCATCTGTCTTCATTAGTTGGAATCACTGCCCGAGAACACATACAGAGATCAGGAATATCGTATAAAACTCAGAAGTCATTGTATACTTGTCTCATGTCAGTGTTTCAAAGTAGGTCAGTAAGATAGCCAGGCAAACTGCCGTTTTCAGGAAAGGTTAACAGTGGCAGTCTCCGTGCTTCTTTTATGACAGATTCCTTTTAAGTCTGCTTTCACACTAAGGAGTTTGTGAAGCGTTTTTGCGTTAAAAAAAAAAAAAAAGAAAACCCCTGAAAAGCTCAAGAAATGCTTCCCTATGTATGTGAATGTATATCTATGTATGTTTTCACAATGAGGCGGTGCAGTGTAAAATTTGCTTGCAGCATCTTTGAGGCGTGTTTGGTGAGTTAAAAAAAAACACAAAAAAGCTCCAAAAATGCCTCTTCCCATTGAAATCAATAGAAAACACCTAAAAACCGCCTCTGAGAAGCGTCTTTTGGTGCAGTTTTTAAGTCACGTGTTTAAAAAAACCAATCAGCATGGCAAAAGTGGGGTAAAAATAAGCATTTTCAAAAGCTCAGCAATGGTAGTCTTTTCCCTGCTGTCAGTTCAGGTTGGTTTTAAGGTTGGTCGATCATGGAATAGAGGTATAATTTGGCACATACAGTATGCATGGAAAATGTAAGTGGTACATTGTTTATTCTTATGTAAGAATTGTATATTTCTCCTATGTGCAGGTTAGTAAGTCTGCCTGTATTCTTACTACACAAGCAATAATGCGTTTGCTCAAGTCAAAAGAAGCTGCTGCGGCTGTAGACATCAAAACATGGCCAACCATTCTAGACACTGGTAAATAATAATTTGTCCACTTTCAATGGAATCTTTTTTTATCTCTTTGATAGCGTTTTTGTTATTTATGAGGTATATAAATGTGATCAGAATACAATCAAACCACTGTTTAACAAACATATGAACTAAATAAATAAAGACTTTAGGTGTCCTGTGGTGCATGCATATACAGTAGCTCTGCTTGGTCTGAATGTCCATACAGCATTCCTTGAGAACCCTTGAAATCTCAGGAACATATTTTCAATAAATACCATTTTTACTTCAAGCCATTACTTGAACAGTCCCCTCAGAATCCTATAGAGCTATGCGCACATTAGCAACCTTTTGGGATTTGTGTCAGAGCTAGTTCATTTAATATTTTTTTTTTCATGATTAGTTCACTTTTATCATATCCATGTCCATTAGTTTTCCTGTTTATGGTTTTGCAGTATTGTTGTGTACTGGCTATATCATACAGTATATACTGCTAACCATAGACTTCAGAAAATTCATTAAAATGCATTCACAAGCTTCTGAACTAAACAGGCAAGCTCTGATAGCACAAGTGTTTCAGTTTAGGCAATTTTGAAGAAAACACAGTCCTGGAGTCACCTTTATATCAGTTACCTCTCCAAATACTTTGTACCTGAGAACTGTACATGTGTGTTGTCAGGGGATGGCCCACGCTTCTTAAATCACCTATTCTGATTGCAAATGGTTGGATTGTGAGACTGTCAAGTATTGACTATGCACAGCCTAAAGTGAACCTGTGCTATGTCCATGCAAGCCCCTGCTTCTAATTATTTTTGCATTACCTTTGTACCTGTGCTATGTCCATGCAAGCCCCTGCTTCTAATTATTTTTGCATTACCTTTGTACCTTTGTTCACCCAATACTTCTTTTTATGGGAGTGCATGTGACTCACTCCTCTCCCTTTCATGTTACATTGCTGTTGCTTGGTGATAGCTCAGGCACCCAGCGCTGTCACATGAGGATTGGACAAGGGTCCCCAGACCTATATAAGCTCTGACCAAGACCAACTTGGAATTTTACTGGGAATAATTTACTTCCTCTATTCTATTCCAAGGACATAGAGAGTAAAAGGGTAGTAAGGTATGCATAAGCAGCTGCAAGGAGCAGAATTAAAGCAATCCTATTGCTTTATTCTTCATGGGCAAAGCTCAGGTTCCCGTTAAGGCTGGATTCACATGAGCGTAGGCTTTTTAGAAGTGGCTCTGACCCTTGCCAAAACAACGGGGGTTAGTTGGGAGACAATGTGGTTTAGCTGACTGAACAATTTGCGCACTGTATAGAGCCTCAGATCCCTGTGTGTTGCATTGCACCTGCAGGTCTGCCTGCCTAGAACACTGCCTTGACAACACGATCTCTCTTTTGCATCTAGCGCCATGATGAATTCACAGTCTAAGGGTACTATTTACAGAGTCTGACGTACAGATTTCTACCATTAAACTATTTAAACTACATATTTACTAATTGAGAAAATTCAGTATGTTCCTTTTTTAAAATATTTTGCCTCTAATTCAGTGTGAAAGTTTCTGCGATTATCATGTTGTGTGTTTATCAGTTGATCTCTTATACGAAGTGTCTGTTCAGAGGGAGGATACAGTATATGTCATCACTAATGCTCGCTGTTTCTTTGTATGCATTTTTGCAGAAGACATGCCCAAGAAGAAAATAGCACGTGTGTTTCGGCCAACATCACCGGAAACTCTGGCATATTTAGATTTCAGTGTGTCTACTACCGGAATCCTGGCTGGAGTGAAGGTGCGACAGTAATATAGACATGTTTTGTTGGTTTTCTAGTACACCCACCTCACTGGTTCTAGAAACTACATAAACCAGCTGTAAGGTTCCCACTCCATCACCCTGTGGATTCATCTCACATACAGATTCATGTAAAAACTTTGTGGGTCAATCTTTTTGCTTTGTATTTAAATTCTTTTATTTGAGAAATTGAGAGGGGACTGATATAAAGCTGAACTCCAGGAAATCTAAAAATCCTTCCTTGCAGTGGGGTTTTGCCTGCACTGCAATGGTTAACTTGAGCTTTTTTTTTTTTTTTTTTTTTCTAAGGGACTCAGTGAAGCACTTTTATTTAACCAATCCTCTGTCCCTGAAGGCTCCTTCTACACTGCTAGACTGGTCCCTGCAACCTCTACTCCCCTATGCTCTGGCAGGCTAATATCCTATGACATCCTCACATCCTGAAGACTGATGGAGGGATCATAGCCCTGCATTAAACATGAGGACACTGAGGAACAGTCCAGTGCCAGAGCATAGGGGAAGACCATCTGCCAGGGAAGTGAAGGATCAGGGAAGTACAAGCACTTTTCTATTCCCTGGACATAAATGAGCAGGTAACCCTTGCAGTGCAGCTGCATCCCAATTCAAGGGAGGAATTTAAGTTTCTCAGAGTTGCGCTTTCCATGTGTTTCCATAGCCAAAACTTTGTTTTAGTTTTGGATAGAGTTGGGAAAGATTAGAATTTAAGCCAGGTGTTACTTCCGTTGGAGGCTCCATGGGAAAATTTCTGTCTGGTAAAAAGGTTGTCCCCAAGACAGGAAATCTAACAGCAGCATAGACAGAAGTACAAATGATTTTTTTAACGAGCATTTCCACCTTTGCAACCAAACTGGGTAACACCTTTTTTTCTTTTATATATTGTTTACACGTTCTTATTCAAAAAATTATAGCTTAAAAAAATGCTGCTTACCATTCAACTTGCTCTTTTCTGATAACTCCTGCACTGACAACTTCTACTTAGTTTTTATTTGTTTAAGTGGCTGGGGAACTGCTTGCGATAATTAACCCTGTTTATACTGTGCTGGCAAATCTCATTATCGGTTGTAATACGCATATGAATACTGTCTGTCCT